CTCTGGAATATTTAACAATTAAGAAAAAAATGTAACTCTAATAATTTTGATCACTTGGATGTCTGATTCTAGAGACCCTAAGTTCTAAACTAGGGGGAGATAAGCTAGTAGTAAAATGCAGTCGAGAAATTCTTCATAAAAACTTAGGGGCTGGTGGCCAGTCTCTAGCTGTGCATGCATTGGGTCATAAGTCAGGCAAGATTATTTTTTTGCAAAAGGTTACTGAAATCCTTTACTGTTGAAGTAGCAGGCTCGACAAGGCTTCGTTAAATAGATATATATACACAATTTGATAAAAATATATGATGGAGAAGATGTGAGCCTACTTCAAAAAAAATCTGACTAAAGGCCCAGAACCAAGGACAGAAGACTTGATGTGAGATTCTGAATAACTGTAACTTCATGTAAAATGCTGAATAATCTTCTCTTTATCTTGTCATATCTTGTACATTTTTTTCATGGAATAATTCCAGTACAATTACACTGTACTTTCAACATTCTAAGTAAAACCAAATAAAAACATGATAAATTATATAAATATTAAAAGGAAATAATATATATAAATATTAAAAGGAAATAATATATATAAATATTAAAAGGAAATAATATATATAAATATTAAAAGGTAAGAAAACAAGCAAACATGTAAAATAAGCATAACATCTAGATACAAAATTACTTCAGCAAATCACAAAATATGCATTCTTCTACAACTGTATGGTGTAGTATTCTGAACCTGTAAGTATGCTTTCAGATATAAAACAAATGCTAATTAAAAATGAATATAAAAAACGGTCGACCATTTTTGTCAAAGCTGTCATCATGCCACTTATTTTGTTTGATAACAAAATAGAATAATCTTATTTATAAACTCCCATTAACTTTATGCTTCACCACTCACCAGATGATTTCAATGTATTATAAACACCATCGGAGTCTGCTTGTATCTATCAATATGCCACAGGTATATGATATATAATAAAAGGAAGTTCAAATCACAATATGCCAATAATTTGCTAGTTTTATTTACTAACCCATCAACATGTTTTATTAATAAACACATCATATCACAAACTTCAGACTAGGATTGGATCTGATTAATGTTTTTGATTAAACATTTTGATAAAATCATACGCACAGAAGTCAAATTTAGTCTTTGCTAAAGTGATATGCTATTTTATAAAAGTGTTCGGATGCTGACATGGCTGTTTTATCATGGATGAAAGGTGTGCACGCCTATTTAAGAAACTTAAAGGCTAAAATATATGTCTGCCAAATACAAGGGTATAAATTTACATTTTGGTAAGTATGCCAAAAATGATTATACATTGCAAAACATGATCAGAATGTTCACGAGATCACAATGTTCACGGGTTCACAATGTTCACGAGGGTTTTCAAATGTGTCAGTATCTGAGGGGGCAACTTCGAAAATTTCAAATTGGCAAGGTAATGAAGTTCTTTGGTAATGTGCTAATCAAGGGCATTATCGTATACATGGCTTTGTTTATAACCTAAAACCTCACTTCACATACATCATGAATGACATTATCAGCTGGTCATATAAGACAGTGTGTCGTTATACAGTATTGTTACCTGGTTTCAGTAATGCTTGGATAAAAGACAATGCAGTCTTTTGGGGCCGTACAATCATGTCAGGTAATGAGGGATATATCTTTAAAATCAGGACATAAAAAACTAAATGTCCTCAAAGTGAGGTGTCGGTAATGTCAGATGCTGCAGTATATCACAATTCAAATATTAATGGATGCCATTAAGTGAGGTGAAAGGAAACGTTTACATTTATGTGTGTTGCATTCTATATAAAAAAAAATTAAAAATTATAAAATGCTGAATTGTGTTTGGCTTCGCCTTTTTTACACACTTACAGAGGTAATTGTTTTCTTTTTAATGACTAATAGAAATTAAAACACTGGTTGCATAGACTGGCGAATTAGGATGATCAATTCTACATATAGATTATCCTTGATAAACTGACTGGACGTATTCCACTTCGTCCAATGGGGGACATAGGGAGACCACAATTGATAAACTGACTGGACGTATTCCACTTCGTCCAATGGGGACATAGGGAGACCACAATTGATAAACTGGAAACACAATAATGTAAGAAATTTTTACAGATTTTCAGTTTCAATTTACTTCATGTCTATAAAGACATATATATTTGTTTATAAAACTGCATTGATATTTCTACAAAGTTATGAATTTTGAAAAAAAAAATAATAATCTATAACAAAATTACTATAACTTACAGTACCTGAATATTCTTTCAATTAACATCCAAAAATATATTTTTTAAATAGAAAATATTTATTATGAAATAGAAATCAAAGCATTTTAAAGATTGGCCTGTAAGATAGATTAATACCAAATCTGTCCTGACAATAAAGAGGAAATAAAAGCTTTTTTCCAGCACTATTTTCATATCAGTATTACATATTTCATCACCCAAGATCTTCATACCAATATACAAAGGACTATTCCGTCTTTGCGTATTGCAGAGTTATCTTCTCTTGTGAGCAGGTATTGATTGTTACGTCATTGGTTTGTGAGAGTAACGTCATCAATTTTTGAGAAAACGACGTAATTTTCACACAAACCAATGACGTATGTAACAATCAATACCTGCTCACAAGAGAAGATAACTCTGCAATACGCAAAGACGGAATACCAAGTAACAAATTACCTTATAAATAACAATACAGGAGTGTATAGTGAAGAAATTACACCTTGGTTTCACTATAAGAATGACTATAAATATAATATATTCAATAATCATTAAATGTTTCCCAATAAAAAGGTAAAACAAAACAATATATGTCTAGCATTGATATGTTTTTTTTCTTCAAAAAGTCAATAAGTAGATAAATATGAGACATCAAAATCATCTATAGAGGTGTATAGTGTATAACAGCAATCCATATAAGTTAAAAAACATTGTACATTAGATACATAGAACTGGCACTACTGTTTAAGAAAGTGTATGTTTATAATTAGAACTTAATACCAGTATCAAAGAACCTTGTATATATGATAGTGGGTTTTTTTATAAAAATTACAGGCATATAAAATCATTGAACTTTGTTTATAAAACTATCAGACATACAAAACTTGGACCATCTGTTGTATTAAATGAAAACATGAAACTGAATTTGTGTTTTGCAGCGTCATACAATAATTTCATCAAAGAATTTTTCGTTTTTGTTGTATTGAAAAGACATTAGAAAAATGTATTTTTGTTTATAAAAAGAACAGCAATCAATTAAACATTGTATTTTTAAGTGTGTAAACTTCAGGTTCTTTGTATTTTTTCATTAAAAACCAAACTGAAATCATTAACAACTTCAATTTTACCACCACACCTGTTAAAATCACAAGGATTTCCACATCTCAAAGGTTTCCCTTGGAGAGATATACAGGAGTTTGATTTTGATACTGTACCATTCAAACTCCTGTATATCATCATTGAGGGTACTGTAAGCAGTGGAAAGGTTCACTGTGGGACCCCAGGAGTTCCTGTTTTGTTTCTAAATACTCAAAATTTTGAAAATAGATATGGTTACAATGGAATTCAACTGTAGAAATGGATGTTAACAAACAGTTCATTACTTCATAATAGTACGATTTTGTAAAAGTATATAATATATATCCCTCTGTCCTAAATAACACATAGCAGCCATATTTTGACAACATGAAACTTTCACAACTTTAATACCCACTCTTTTATGTTATAACAAACTTTATACTGACATACCTTTATGCTATAACAAAATTTATACTGACATACCTTTATGTCATAACAAACTTTATACTGACGTACCTTTATGTTATAACAAAATTTACACACAGACACACCTTTATGTTATAACAAACTTTATACTGACATACCTTTATATTATAACAAACTTTATACTGACACACCTTTATGTTATAACAAACTTTTTACTGACATACCTTTATGTCATAACAAACTTTATACTGACGTACCTTTATGTTATAACAAACTTTACACACAGACACACCTTTATGTTATAACAAACTTTATACTGACATACCTTTATGTTATAACAAACTTTATAATGCCACACCTTTATGTTATAACAAACTTTATACTGACACACCTTTACGTTATAACAAACTTTATAGTGACACACCTTTATGTTATAACAAACTTTATACTGACATACCTTTATGTTATAACAAACTTTATACTGACACACTTTTATGTTATAACAAACTGAACACCTTTATGTTTAAACAAAATTTATACCGACGTACCTTTATGTTATAACAAACTTTATAATGACACACCTTTATGTTATAACAAACTTTACACCGTTATGTTAAAACAAAATTTTACACTGACACACCTATATGTTATAACAAACTTTACACCTTTATGTTATAACAAACTTTACACACAGACAAACCTTTTTCGTTGTACACAAGATTTTGCACCGACACACTTTTATGTGGTAACAAGCATTTTAGGCCTTTTATTTTCAATGATCAATGATTTTCCAGTTTATACTGTAGTTAAGGTTATATGATTTAGGCCAATGACAAATATTTGAAAGTATGTAGATATGATAAATGGAATGATATTCTGCACTTCAGGGCACTGTATGGTAGCAGATATTATACAAAGGTAGAACGCTGACAGGGGTAAGTTATCACAGCATAATGCAGTATTTACCCAGAAAAAAATTCTCCACTAAAGAAAGATCCATTGAAACTAACCAGTTGATTTAACTTTGCATACCAAACTGAACACTTTAAGTAAAATTACATTTTTTTACAAGTAAAAAACTGCAGATCTTCTATTCCGTCTTTGCGTATTGCAGAGTTATCTTCTCTTGGGAGCAGGTATTGATTGTTACGTCATTGGTTTGTGCGAGAAAATTACGTTGTTTTCTCAAAAATCGATGACGTTACTCTCACAAACAAGTGACGTAACAATCAATACCTGCTCCCAAGAGAAGATAACTCTGCAATACGCAAAGACAGAATATGGTAACTCTAGGTTAAGCTTTTAAGTGAAAAGCTAACCGATAATGGATGATAAATGGATGTCTTATCAAGGCATACACTCACTTGGCCTTTCAGGAATGCATGTGAGCTTTAAGTTGTGTCTTTTTATACAATAAATTGGTGATAGGAAGGTTTACATGTATAATAATCAAGTCCTAATATAGAAAAATAAATGCTTGAAATTTCCAGGTTTCATATTTGAGCAAATCACTTCAATTGAATCAAATATATGACAATATTTTGTTATGCATCATTATGAACTTTTTTGCTCTCACAAAAATCACCTTTGACAGAATTACTGACAGTAATATTAATGCTTGTGGACGGAATCTGAACGTTACAGGGAAACGTACATTTGAAGTAGCTTGGTGGAGTTTGTGTGTCCCTGTCTAACATGCTGGTTTCTATGCTTTACATTTTTTCCTGCGGCCTACAGAGTCTGGACTTCTTAGGGTTGGGGAGCCATTGACTATGACATCACGTTCCTGAGATTTCTCTCCTTCTTCCTCCTTACCCGTGGACTCTTCTGTATCACTCCTTACATCTTTAACCTGTAAAATGAATATTCATATATTCAGAAGTCAAGGTAAGCAATGCAATCTTTGTTTATCATTCAGCATAAAATCTTAATTATCAGGACTTTTGTTGGTGACTTGATCTGTGATTGGACCTATAGGTATGACTTGATCTGTGATTGGACCTATAGGTATGACTTGATCTGTGATTGAACCTATAGGTATGACTTGATCTGTGATTGGACCTATAAGTATGACTTGATCTGTGATTGGACCTATAGGTATGACTTGATCTGTGATTGGACCTATAGGTACACATGTCTAAGTTTGTGTTTAAATTATCTTTCAAACATGTTTCCAGTTACCAATTATTTGTATGTCTGCCAATATTACCGATTTTGATGTCTATGAAAAGTTTGCACACCAAAATGACCTGCATTTTTTAAGGATTGACCTGCATTTCAACCATCAATGATCTTTATTACACTGTTGAGAATTTTGTTGGTGTGACTATTCAGGACATTAATGATGGAAGTTCAGATCATTTAAAAGTTTGGGTATGTTGTGATTGGACAATTATTGGATTTTCTGCTGTCTTCTGAACTCTTTAACCACTTTACGACTTAGGTGAATGCTAACCTTTTTCTCGCCAGTGAATTTGTTGAGAACGATTCGTAGGATCATGAACGTCCAGATGACGTGTAGAACCTGTAGGATCCAGAGGAGACCGTTGAGGAGCCAATAGGACGGCCACATAGCCTGATATTGTAGGGACTCGAAGGAAGCCGACCACACCATCCTGCAGTACAGATACATATTCATTTTCTAGGTGTAACCGAATACAAACAGGGCCCAGTTGTTCAGAAGATGATTACCTTAATCACTGTTTAACGACATCTTTCAACCTTTAATAATTTCTTCAATATACAAGGTAAAAACTCGTCATTTTACATGTACATTTACTCTACTAAATACTTTATATCTAGAAAGTTTGAACTAGGTTGATTATTGCATTTCAAAGATACACAAAAGTTGAAATTTGCGCTAATCACTGATTAAGCTAATCACCCTTTGAACAACTGGGCCCAGGAGTCACTGTTCCCTCTGCTGTCTGTGACTACCGTATTTATCCGGCAATAAGCCCAGGGGGCCCAACACATAATGTCGGACTCAAAATAATTAATTTGACTTATCACAGGACAATGATATAAGATTTACTGTCATTTTTACTGCATTGCCACATAAGCAACCATGGGCTGATTGCTTGATAAATACGGTATCCTTTATTTCAGATATAGAAAGGATTAAATGTAATACGATTGTTTATGATTTATGTTCATATTTTGGGTGAGTTCATTCTTGAGTTTCAACAAGTGGTATATTCTATGAAATTCACTTATGAGAATTGCATCATGAATTGGATATATATATACACGTAAATATGGTACTAAAAGTAATACTAAAACCTCTAGATTGACGGTTATTTAATTCCTTTCCTCAAGAAAATATGTAACCAATTAAATGGTATCACGGATGACTAAATCAATGGATGGGAGTAATGAAATCAATAGTAGTTATGGGAGAAATGAAAATCTTTGTCTATATCACACACTTACTTGAATGGGTAGATGTAGAGTCTGGTAAGTAGCCACACCACAAAAAATATGCCAAACATTGTGTCGGTTAGTGTATCCTTTTTCAAATAATTGGCCATCTTGGCACCCTGAAAATGAAAATTGAATTTCTTATAATTACCATCATCAGGTCAACTTATGTCAATGGGTTTTCTTCTGGATTTTAATGAAGCAAGCCGTCCTGATGGCTTGTATTGNGGGGGGGAGGTATTTTAAAACAAACAAAATATGTGTATATACCCCTTAAGACAAAAAAACACTTTAAAATGACATATCTTGAAATGTTCTTTCAGATGAAATCATTAGATTAGAATAGCTTAGCAAATTTATTGGTTGAAAATACTAAATTTTAAAGTACAAAATCGTGAATCTCCCTCCTAAATAGGGAGAGTTGGCAAGTATGCACCTGATAAACAAAACCAGGTATTGTCAGGTAATCCAGTCCCCCATCAGTAATGATTTCTGTATTGACTGTACAGTACACCTGTCTCAGAATATAGGTCACAGTGACCTACTTTTTGTACTTCAAACTTGGCCAGCCAATACATATTTACATATCACGTATGGTTACTCCAGGAAAAACAGTACAGAAGATATGCCCCAGTCAAATTCTTAAAAATGATTAGGTCAAAAGGTCAAGGACAATCAAAATTCACAGTGACCTACTTTTGTACTTGAAACTCCACCATCACAGGATGTACTTGCAAAACATATCTGGTACTCCAGGTAAATTGTATAGAAAATAAATTATTCAAAGATAGAGTTCAAAGGTTAAACTATAGGTCAGGTGACCTACTTTTTGTACTTGACACTCCGTCATCCCAAGATCTACTTGCATACCAAACTGGTTTACTCAAGGTGAAAAAAGTATATAAAATATGACCAGGACAAACTTTCTCAAAGTTTGTGGTCAAAGGTCAAACCATAGGTTGAAGACCTTCTTTTAGTACATGACACTCCGCCATCCTACGATCTACTTGCATACAAAATTTAGTTACTCCTGGTGAGATATTATACAGAAGATACGCCCTGGACAACATTTTTTGGATGGAGTTAAAACCTATAGTCCCCCCCTCCCTGGGAACCAAGTCAAGGCTAATTATCTCTCTTAGGTTGACTGATATTTAACAATTATTGGCTTTTCACTCAGTGAATATATATGTTGTGATACTGACCGAATGAGTAGCTGAAGTCAATATATTTGGTAAAAATCTGTTATGATATGAAATCACTACAGAGCTGTGATAGTGAATAGGGATAGGATTGGACGAATATAGGTAACACCATATGACCCCAATAAAGTGGCGTCAGCGTAATATTATAATTATGTGTCTCCAAAAAATAAGTAAATCAATACTTGATGTACATACAGCCATCCAGAGATCTACCGAATCATGGACAACAATGACGAGGGCACCAATGCGGACCGTGTTGATGGCAAACGAGAAGTAGATGAGCGCGATAGTGACCATGTGATGAATAAACATCTGGGTGGAGTCCTTTCTCTTGTGGTCGGACAGCACGGTAAACACAAGGTTCCAGTAAAACGCCAGCTCGATGGTGTAGAACCAGAACACATCATTCGATACATGCTGAAATGAAAAAAATAAAAAAATATTCTCAGTTGGGTTAAATAGATATACATGTATATCACACAATAATACTACAGCACTTTTCACGTAGACTTCACGAATCCATTTTAAGCACTAAATTATACACAGAAACAACACGATTATCGTAACCAACAATTTCCATAGGCTTCTTATAGTTCATTGCTCCAAAGCTTGAGCTTTCTTTGAAATATATCATTTTTATTGCAAAAAACAGACTGTATGAGCAGCTGTTCCTGGGTTTTTTATCGAATACATGTAAGTTGACAAAGGCAATAGATGCAAGAGCAATATATAACACCACATTTGAAATAGATACCTTCATCAATGTCTGCCAAAAATAAATAATATCTATGTGATTACTTTAAGCCCCTGTTTATAGGCCAGACACAAGTTCCCCTCAGATGCCAGTCACCGCATCCGTGCCTGCTATAGCACACAGTGGTTTCAAACATTGCCAACCCTCTATCTTAGCCAACCATGTATAGGGCTCAAGAGTTTGTATAATGTGTTATCAACAAAGGGACTTTCATCATTCTCAAATGGAATTATTAAATTGGTGACAAGTAGGGGAGACCGGGGCAGGTTTGGCCCATTTGTTCTGCCGGGCAATATGGCATTTATTGAAATTTATGTGTATGTATACATTTTTTGGAATGGAACTCGATGCCTTTCATGAAGTAATAGCAAATGGGCTAACACGTCTGTATTTGAAGAATTATTTAACTCATTCTGTCAGACGATTGGATGGGGCAAGTTGAAGATAGCACACATTGGAATCAGCATTGTGCAAAACATGAAATGTTCGTTGTATATAAACATTTGTGGTTTTCGTGGTTGCTATTGAACCACGAAAAATAAATACATCAAATTTGAATGATAAACGTATCTACTGTTTGTTACTATAGGATATCCACGTGTCTACTGTTTGTTACTATAGGATATCCACGTGTCTACTGTTTGTTACTATAGGAAATCCACGTGTCTTCTGTTTGTTACTTTAGGATATTCATGTGTCTACTGTTTGTTACTATAGGATATCCACCTGTCTACTGTTTGTTACTATGGGATATCCACGCGTCTACTGTTTGCTACTAGAGGATATCCACATGTCTACTGTTTGTTACTTTAGGATATCCACATGTCTACAGTTTGTTACTATAGGATATCCACGTGTCAACTGTTTGTTACTATAGGATATCCACGTATAGGATATCCATGTGTCAACTGTTTGTTAATATAGGATGTCCATATGTCTACTGTTTGTTACTATAGCATATCCACGTGTCTACTGTTTGTTACTATATAATCTACGTGTCTACTGTTTGTTACTTTAGGATATACACATGTCTACAGTTTGTTACTATAGGATATCCACGTGTCTACTGTTTGTTTCTATAGAATCTACGTGTCTACTGTTTGTTACTATATGATATCCACATGTCTACTGTTTGTCACTATAGGATATCCACATGTCTACTGTATGTTACTATAGGATATCCACGTGTTTACTGTTTGTTACTATAGAATCTACGTGTCTACTGTTTGTTGCTTTAGGATATCCACATGTCTACTGTTTGTTACTATAGGATATCCATGTGTCAACTGTTTGTTACTATAGGATGTCCATATGTCTACTGTTTGTTACTATAGCATATCCACGTGTCTACTGTTTGTTACTATGGGATATTCACGTGTCTACTGTTTGTTACTATATGATATCCACATGTCTACTGTTTGTTACTATAGGATATCCACATGTATACTGTTTGTTACTATAGGATATCCACGTGTCTACTGTTTGTTACTATATGATATTGACGGGTCTACTGTTTGTTACTATAGGATATTGACATGTATACTGTTTGTTACTATAGGATATCCACGTGTCTTCTGTTTGTTACTATAGGATATCCACATGTCTACTGTTTGTTACTATAGGATATCCACGTGTCTACTGTTTGTTACTATATGATATTGACGTGTCTACTGTTTGTTACTATAGGATATTGACATGTCTACTGTTTGTTACTATAGGATATCCACGTGTCTACTGTTTGTTACTATAGGATATCCACACGTCTACTGTTTGTTACTATAGGGTATCCATGTGTCTACTGGTGTTACTATAGAATATCCCCACGTCTACTGTTTGTTACTATAGGATATCCACACGTCTACTGTTTGTTACTATAGCATATCCACGTGTCTACTGTTTGTTACTATAAGATATCCACGTGTCTACTGTTTGTTACTATGGGATATTCACGTGTCTACTGTTTGTTACTATATGATATTAACATTTCTTTTGTTTGTTACTATAGGATATCCACGTGTCTCCTGTTTGTTACTATAGGATATCCACGTGTCTACTGTTGGTTACTATATGATATTGACGTGTCTACTGTTTGTTACTCTAGGATATTGACATGTCTACTGTTTGTTACTATAGATCCACACGTCTACTGTTTGTTACTATAGCATATCCACGTGTCTACTGTTTGTTACTATGGGATATTCACGTGTCTACTGTTTGTTACTATATGATATTAACATTTCTTTTGTTTGTTACTATAGGATATCCACGTGTCTTCTGTTTGTTACTATAGGATATTGACATGTCAACTGTTTGTTACTATAGGATATCAACATGTCTACTGTTTGTTACTATAGTATATCCACGTGTCTACTGTTTGTTACTATGGGATATTCACGTGTCTACTGTTTGTTACTATATGATATTAACATTTCTTTTGTTTGTTACTATAGGATATCCACGTGTCAACTGTTTGTTACTATAGGATATCAACATGTCTACTGTTTGTTACTATAGTATATCCACGTGTCTACTGTTTGTTACTATATGATATTAACATTTCTTTTGTTTGTTACTATAGGATATCCACGTGTCTCCTGTTTGTTACTATAGGATATCCACGTGTCTACTGTTTGTTACTATGGGATATCCACGTGTCTACTGTTTGTTACTATAGTATATCCACGTGTCTACTGTTTGTTACTATGGGATATTCACGTGTCTACTGTTTGTTACTATATGATATTAACATTTCTTTTGTTTGTTACTATAGGATATCCACGTGTCTTCTGTTTGTTACTATAGGATATCCACGTGTCTCCTGTTTGTTACTATAGGATATCCACGTGTATACTGTTTGTTACTATATGATATTGACGTGTCTACTGTTTGTTACTCTAGGATATTGACATGTCTACTGTTTGTTACTATAGATCCACACGTCTACTGTTTGTTACTATAGGGTATCCACGTGTCTACTGTTTGTTACTATAAGATATCCACGTGTCTACTGTTTGTTACTATGGGATATACACGTGTCTACTGTTTGTTACTATAGGATGTCCACATGTCTACTGTTTGTTACTATAGGATAACCACACGTCTACTGTTTGTTACTATAGGATATCCATAGGATATCCACGTGTCTACTGTTTGTTACTATATGATATTAACATTTCTTTTGTTTGTTACTATAGGATATCCACGTGTCTACTGTTTGTTACTTTAGGATATCACATGTCTACTGTTTGTTACTATAGGATATCAACATGTCTACTGTTTGTTACTATAGGATATCCACGTGTCTACTGTTTGTTACTATAGGATATCCACACGTCTACTGTTTGTTACTATAGGATATCCACTTGTCTACTGCTATAGGATATCCACGTGTCTACTGTTTGTTCCTATAGGATATCACATGTCTACTGTTTGTTACTAGAGGATATCCACATGTCTACTGTTTGTTACTTTAGGATATCCACATGTCTACTGTTTGTTACTATATGATATCCACACGTCTACTGTTTGTTACTATAGGATATTGACATGTCAACTGTTTGTTACTATAGGATATCCACGTGTCTACTGTTTGTTACTATAGGATATCCACATGTCTACTGATTGTTACTATATGATATCCACACGTCTACTGTTTGTTACTATAGGATATCCACATGTCTACTGTTTGTTACTATAGGGTATCCACGTGTCTACTGTTTGTTACTATAGGATAGCCACGTTTCTACTGTTTGTTACTTTAGGATATCCACGTGTCTACTGTTTGGTACTATAGGATAGCCACGTGTCTACTGTTTGTTACTTTAGGATATCACACGTCTACTGTTTGTTACTATAGGATATCCACATATCTACTGTTTGTTACTTTAGGATATCCACCTGTCTTCTGTTTGTTACTATAGGATATCCACGTGTCTACTGTTTGTTACTATAGGATAGCCACGTGTCTACTGTTTGTTACTTTAGGATATCCACCTGTCTACTGTTTGTTACTATAGGATATCCACATGTCTACTGTTTGTTACTATAGGATATCCACGTGTCTACTGTTTGTTACTATAGGATATCCACGTGTCTACTGTTTGTTACTATAGGATATCCACGTGTCTACTGTTTGTTACTATAGGATATCCACGTGTCTACTGTTTGTTACTATAGGATATCCACGTGTCTACTGTTTGTTACTATAGGATATCCACGTGTCTACTGTTTGTTACTATAGGATATCCACGTGTCTACTGTTTGTTACTATAGGATATCCACGTGTCTACTGTTTGTTACTATAGGATATCCACGTGTCTACTGTTTGTTACTATAGGATATCCACGTGTCTACTGTTTGTTACTATAGGATATCCACGTGTCTACTGTTTGTTACTATAGGATATCCACGTGTCTACTGTTTGTTACTATAGGATATCCACGTGTCTACTGTTTGTTACTATAGGATATCCACGTGTCTACTGTTTGTTACTATAGGATATCCACGTGTCTACTGTTTGTTACTATAGGATATCCACGTGTCTACTGTTTGTTACTATAGGATATCCACGTGTCTACTGTTTGTTACTATAGGATATCCACGTGTCTACTGTTTGTTACTATAGGATATCCACGTGTCTACTGTTTGTTACTATAGGATATCCACGTGTCTACTGTTTGTTACTATAGGATATCCACGTGTCTACTGTTTGTTACTATAGGATATCCACGTGTCTACTGTTTGTTACTATAGGATATCCACGTGTCTACTGTTTGTTACTATAGGATATCCACGTGTCTACTGTTTGTTACTATAGGATATCCACGTGTCTACTGTTTGTTACTATAGGATATCCACGTGTCTACTGTTTGTTACTATAGGATATCCACGTGTCTACTGTTTGTTACTATAGGATATCCACGTGTCTACTGTTTGTTACTATAGGATATCCACGTGTCTACTGTTTGTTACTATAGGATATCCACGTGTCTACTGTTTGTTACTATAGGATATCCACGTGTCTACTGTTTGTTACTATAGGATATCCACGTGTCTACTGTTTGTTACTATAGGATATCCACGTGTCTACTGTTTGTTACTATAGGATATCCACGTGTCTACTGTTTGTTACTATAGGATATCCACGTGTCTACTGTTTGTTACTATAGGATATCCACGTGTCTACTGTTTGTTACTATAGGATATCCACGTGTCTACTGTTTGTTACTATAGGATATCCACGTGTCTACTGTTTGTTACTATAGGATATCCACGTGTCTACTGTTTGTTACTATAGGATATCCACGTGTCTACTGTTTGTTACTATAGGATATCCACGTGTCTACTGTTTGTTACTATAGGATATCCACGTGTCTACTGTTTGTTACTATAGGATATCCACGTGTCTACTGTTTGTTACTATAGGATATCCACGTGTCTACTGTTTGTTACTATAGGATATCCACGTGTCTACTGTTTGTTACTATAGGATATCCACGTGTCTACTGTTTGTTACTATAGGATATCCACGTGTCTACTGTTTGTTACTATAGGATATCCACGTGTCTACTGTTTGTTACTATAGGATATCCACGTGTCTACTGTTTGTTACTATAGGATATCCACGTGTCTACTGTTTGTTACTATAGGATATCCACGTGTCTACTGTTTGTTACTATAGGATATCCACGTGTCTACTGTTTGTTACTATAGGATATCCACGTGTCTACTGTTTGTTACTATAGGATATCCACGTGTCTACTGTTTGTTACTATAGGATATCCACGTGTCTACTGTTTGTTACTATAGGATATCCACGTGTCTACTGTTTGTTACTATAGGATATCCACGTGTCTACTGTTTGTTACTATAGGATATCCACGTGTCTACTGTTTGTTACTATAGGATATCCACGTGTCTACTGTTTGTTACTATAGGATATCCACGTGTCTACTGTTTGTTACTATAGGATATCCACGTGTCTACTGTTTGTTACTATAGGATATCCACGTGTCTACTGTTTGTTACTATAGGATATCCACGTGTCTACTGTTTGTTACTATAGCATATCCACGTGTCTACTGTTTGTTACTATAGGATATCCATGTGTCTACTGTTTGTTACTATAGGATATCCATGAAAGTTTGTACCATGAAACGATCTAAATGGCTTCAAACCACGAAGTCCACACAAACATTTAGTGTTATCCATTAATTATAAAACATGTAATGTCAGATTTTCCCACCAAGTTCGTGACATTTTACTTGATGCATGGGCTGAGCTTCCCCGGTTTCATGGGCCGAACCTACCCAAAATTGATATTTCAATAAAATCCTATATTCCAGAAATATAAAAGTCAATACTAGGCTTTTATGTATACCATCCTCCGAAGCTGTTAGCTTGTTACATGTATGATGTAAATAAGTAGCAAAATGCTCTACAGAAAGATCACAAAACTGAAAGAAGTGAGGTCATGATTTTCTTTCTACCCTCCCAAAAGTAACTTTTTCCCTTTTAGTAATTCTATTATTTAGTTTTCCTCACCATTTTTTCGTGTGAATGTCCTGCACAGCCAACTAAACTGATAATATTCATAAGGTTGTGAATATTTGCTCAAGACCAAAATATAAGAGGAAGGGGAACTTATCCCGGGGCCTAACTAAACTTGCCCCGGTCTACCCTACATCTATATAATATCACAAGTTGTCTGCTTTTATAAGACCACTAAAGATCTTATAATCAGCTGATAATTTACAAAATGGAAAATTGAACACCAATACAATGGTTAAAACAGGGTGAAAGCACTGTTGTTGGCCCTGACGCTGATGTATGACCTTTTATCTGCGGCAAAGACGTGAAGTCTGCTCATGCCTAACAGTAGCATGTAACCAAAGTGCTATCACCATCACAACCACATGATAAACGTAGACAAATTACCTGGTGTTTATAGTCTATCCAACAGTACTTAGATTCCCAAAAGTACGGCTTCTGAAAAATTAATCAGGTAAATAATTGACTGAGTAAAAAATCAATACATGAGGGTGATGTATGCTAAATTAAGATTATCTGCTACCTTCCAGTGATAGATACGTGTTACTACAATTATATGTAACTTTGCTTGGCTTGAGTCCACAGACTAATTATTAGATGAATTGATTATTTATCAACAGAACCAGTGCAAACTACCCAAGGTAATTATAACATCCAATGCATGCAATAAAGAAAAATATTAGCAGTATGGCACTTATAATTACAGCCTCCTACTGCAATAAGAATATGGTGAAATCTTAGAAAATTTTGACAATAAACATGCAATATCATATTTCTATACTTTAAGAAATTTCTGTTAAATAATATTTTTATTTTCATGATGTATCACTCAACAATTCTTGTAATTATATATAATAACTTTTTTTATTACTGCCATCCGATCAACTAATTAGCTTTTATAGTGATTCAATTGAGTTCTGTAGCTATCACTTATTCCTTTGGTCCAGGGAGGGTTGTTTATTTCCAAATTAGATGAAATCCTTTACTTAAGTAGATATATTGTACAACATTCTCTCTATTGAGACCTGGCCCTCTATACCCTCAGGGAGACCACAATCTTGTATGAAACAATTTATTCCCTTGTCATAGATATGCTCAAAACCAAATACATTATTAAGCCATGCTTGAAAAGTAGTCTTCTATTTGATTAAAACACACTTAAGTTAATTCTCCTTTCATTAACAAAATATTAAATTTCTGTGCAAAAGGGATGTTCCATGCCAATTAAGTACATTTTTTAACCATTTTGGACAAGTAGTCTTTTAAAGGAAACCCCTAGAGAGCTAAAAATGCTTTCTTTTGGTCTGAAAGTCGCTGCAAATAGTTAATTTTAACATGGAAAAAAGAACACAAACATATAAACTTACATCCCACAGGATATATATCGCCGAAAAGAAACTTGAGGAATAGAACAGGAAATGCCAGCTAAAAAATAGAAATAAAAACAAAGTCAACATAAAAGTTAAAGTTACCAGTTTCATTAATTATATCCTTTAGGGGTTGATAATACTCTGGAGGGGTTGATAATATTTTGGAAGGGTTGATAATACTCTGGAGGGGTTGATAATACTCTGGAGGGGTTGATAACACCCTGGAGGGGTTGATAGTACTCTGGAGGGGTTGATAATACTCTGGAGGGGTTGATAACACTCCAGTTAAGTTGATTATATACCCTGGAACAGGTGAAAATAAATGATAGTCCCTGAGGAACTGTATTACTCACCTTTATATTTAAGCAATTATGGCAAAACAATCCTAGCTATAAGTATTACATACAATAATGGGATTTCACGATTAACATCTGTTTCCCCTATTTGGCTTTCATAAAGAATTAAGTCTCCCTTAGCTAACGGTCGCTCTAGACTAGATTTGGTTTAAATCACTCAATTTGTATGGAAGAAGGTCTTTTAAAGATTTACCTTTATTGCAACATTGGGCTCCAACCTTATGCCCCCTGAGTGAGGTGGGGGGGGGGGCACAGCATCCATTTATACAATATAAAGTCCCCTTTACCCGATGATACTCTCTATCAAATATGGTTAAAATCCCTCTATTTGTACGGAAGGAGAAGTAGTTTTAAAATTTACCTCTATTTCCCGTAGAGGGCCCCAACCCTCTGTTTATACTAAATTGAGTCTCTTTTTACCAAGGACACTTTAAACCTGATTTGGTTAAAACCCCTCCATTTCTACAGAAGAAATATGGTTTTAAAGATAGATCCCTATAAGGCCCCAGTTTTCTGCCCCCAACAAGGCCACATCCTCAACTTAAACAAAATTGAATCCCCATCGGCCAAGGTTGCTTTTAACTAATCAAGCAGAAATCCCTGCATTTATATGGAAGGAGAAGGATTTAAAGGACTTTACTCTATCTCTACTTTTGGACCTGTCCCTCTGCCCCCCAGGGTTCATTTTTGCCCAAGGATTCTCTATATGAAATTTGATCAAATTCCTTCATTTCATACACAAGGAAAAGGATTTAAAATAACTACCTCAATATCCACTATTGGGCTCTGCCCCTTTGCTTCAGGGGGTCACACTCTTCAAATCTGTTGATACAAGATTGAGTCCCCTTGCCCAAGGATACCCCAGGCCAATTTCAGTCAAAATGCACTTAATTAGCCCTTCAGGACTAGTAGCATTTTGAGGTAAAAGATGATGGAAGGATTGACTCGGTATATACCTGCATTCCCTGAACTTTTGCATCCTGCCTGGCATTTCTCGACTGCGTCTGTGTCGGAACCATCTCTGTATCTGTCTCTCTGTTAGACTTGTCTTCTTGGATAATTCCTGTTTACAGTAAATCAAAAACATCATTAACAATTCTAATCTGTGTGAAGCAGATCAAGATGTTTTCCAGTTTACTTTAAACAGCAAAACAATTAACACACATGTACAAGGTATATTAACCTTAGATGTGTTTGGTTGAATCTAACTAGCAAAAGGCCCAACAGGCCTGCATTGCTCACCTGTTATTGGTGTTTGAAAACACATCTAACACCTATGACTTTCAAGGAGTGTCAAGGACAAATTAATTCAAACAAACTTGATAGCAATAATAAACAATTTACACTACAGGTATAGGCCGAAGATCTCTACTGAATACACGTTATATGTCACAGAGAGAAGATTTTGATTTCTTTTACTGACATTTGTCCTTACATACTTAAGCTGATTTATTTGTACTAAATTGACTGCCAGTTATTCAGCTACAGGTTTTCATTATCAATAATGATTGCATATTAGTTCAAAAGTACTTTGTGCAAGGCAAGATAAAAATGACCTATAAGGTTAATGGGAAAATATAAAAAAAAGTCCAATAGAATTTACTTTATTATTATTATTGTCTCAGTAAAACTGTGACAATGGTTGCCATCTTGAATCCAAAAAAGTTAAAGTTGGTCATTTGCACTTGATTTTAAATAAGTATAATCCATATGTATCATTGTAATTGGTCACATAATTTTTAGAAAAAAATATCTAGACAGGGCTTGAAATGACAAAGTACAGAAAGGGAAATAACTCTTAGGGAAAAGTTTAAGCTAAAATATATATGTAACAGGTGCGAATTCGAATCTACATAATATACCAATCCTAAAGTTGTGTTGAAGCCAGCTAATTAGTTTCAAAAACAAGTTCGGAACAAGATTTCATTCATGGATAGACAGACAAATGAATAAGCAGTTCCCCCTGTCCGTCCAACTTAACCCCCATCCCTCCTCTACAGCTTCACTGCAGGGAAGCAAAATAATTAAATCTTGATAATCAATTGAGATTAGTATTCATTAGACTGAAAGTTAATTAAAAATACTGTATATTACAAACACCCTGAAGCTCATAAAAAATGATCTTATTTTTCATGAAAAATTCTTTTACACTTGTTAATCATCACTACTTGTTGGCTATGCAGTGTATCTCTACAATTTCTTTGATTATCACAGTTCTGCAATATATGCCATCTGCACTCCACGTAGGTGCCATTAGGTACCAGGTGAGTGATAATCATCGCTGGGGAATTGCCATCGACTGTTTATCAGTTCAAACAGGTATAGGGACCTTCATCATAAATAATTGCTTTAATTCAAAATGCAAGATTGTCATCATTACGGGGATGGTATGTCATGGCAAGGAGTTCATTCTATTGCTTAGATTTGTGTACTTTGATCAATGTCTTGTCACATGTATACAGTAGCTGATTGCCATGGTAACTGAATCTGCAGTCACGTACCTGTTACTAGTCCATTCTCAATATTTTAATGGTAAAATCCTGAACTGAGTAAGCTGTTTGAGAAACTATATCAAAGGGAAAATTTGCTAATACACAAAAAGTATAATATTAGTATGAACCCAGGAGCCATTTGAGGCCCCCTCAAGGTGCCCCCACTGAATCGAGCCATTTGAGGCCCCCTCAAGGTGCCCTGAAGGTGCCCCCGCTGAATCGAGCCATTTGAGGCCCCCTCAAAGTGCCCCCACTGAATCGAGCCATTTGAGGCCCCCTCAATGTGCCCCCACTGAATCGAGCCATTTGAGGCCCCCTCAATGTGCCCCCTCTGAATCAAGTCATTTGAGGCCCCCTCAAGGTGCCCCCACTGAATCGAGTCATTTGAGGCCCCCTCAAGGTGCCCCCACTGAATCCACCAAGTTCTACAGAATTACTGTCAGTAATATCTTCTATAAAATGTTTTTTAGAGTTGTCTTCTCTAGGTGTACATATCTGTCACCAGGTGAAAAGGATGACACTAAATCAATCCTGAAGAAATCTTATGGCCTGCGTTATGACCTAATTTCAAACTACAATTATGTTTTGGTATATCAGTGTCAACCATATAAATACAGCCTTTAAATTCACTGTGTTCAGGTCTACTAGGATTACAATTCTTCAGAATCGCATTGGAAGGGGACATATCATGATCAAGGGTGTGGCGACCTAACCTGACAAGCACATATGAAATAAAAATGTCAAGTTTCGACTCATCTGTCCTTGTGTTGTGTACTATATTGTCTTTGAGTTCCATTTTGTCTTGTGTGTTACCTCCATGGACATTTTTGTCCTTGCTCCTTGATTGCTTTTTATGGTTTAAAGGTTTGGAGTGACAAGTTGTAGTGATTGTCTATAGACGTCCGATAGCTGTACAAACATTCATAATGACAGAGTGCAAAGAAGTCAGATTTCAGTCGATTTTCTTACGCAATACCTATATCCTTCAGTGGAAGTTGTCAATGCCAACGCATTGTGTTTGGATTCTCCTTGCATGGTGTTCTGTTGTCTGACAAAACATTTCTATAGACTCATTATATAATTCTGAAAGTATAAATGTTTATAAAGCAATCATATTTCTCAAACAGGATGTGACACGACGGGATTGCTGCGAACTTGAGTGTGCTATTGTAAGAGCAGAAACCTATAGAAATTATCTGGGTATTTATACTGGTACACTTAAGGATCCCCGATTACCACTGCCAAACATTGTAGCTATGCATTGAAAACAGCTTTTTTCCAGCATGATTATTGCTTAGATAAATCTTATCCGAGAAGAAAACCATACCTTGCAGGACTTTTTATGAAAATATAATACACATGCAGATGAATAAACTCGATATAATCAAAAACAGAGTTCTGAGTGTAAAACTTCAGCAGGGATTTGAACTCCTGACCTCTGATGACCTTAAACTCCACTTCATCGAACTCGGTTAACTGGAATACCCCTCATTTGTCAAACAGTTCGTTTGATCCTGACCGACTTTGCACATATTCTTTGTAAAGTGACCCTGGATTAGTCAAACCGTTATTCCTCGTATACCCTGTATTCCTCAAACAAGGTATTAATCCTATCTATTCGTCGAACAGGTGTGATTGTCACGCCTGATAGATATTTTACCTGTGTATCACGCGGGCACTGCGAAAATAGCTTGGGCTAAGACTACAGTTTACCAGTAGCAGTGACGTGCTTGACTATAGCATAAGTACTGTTTTACATTTGATAAGCTACAAAATATTACATGAAAATGAAAATCCACTTCTTAGTTTCTATGGATATGTCATTTGAAGGTTTTTTGTGACACCTCCTGGCCCTGGCTGAAGGCTGTCCCTCAGCCCAATGAGAGCTATAGGTCACTAGGTCAGCCCTTTCTTAAGTATGGATTCTGATCCCCCTACCGCCTAAATGATTACCCCAAAGTTTCATTAAAATCTGGATGATGGTTTCGGAGAAGAATTAAGTTTGAAGTATTTTTTTTGTTTTGGACAACAGGTGCAGTTTTGTTTGTTTGTGTTTTACGTCCTATTAACAGCTATGGTCTTTTAAGGACGTGCCAGGTTTTGGTGGTGGAGGAAAGCCGGAGTTCCCGGAGAAAAAATACTGACCTATGGCCAGTCCCTGGCAACTGCCCCACGTAGGTCTTGAACCCACGACCCAGTGGTGGAGGAAAGCCGGAGTTCCCGGAGAAAAAACATCGACCTATGGCCAGTACCTGGCGACTGTCTCACTTAGGTCTCGAACCCACGACCCAGTGGTGGAGGGCTACAAACACCTTAACCACTTGGCCACCACAGTGCTCCCTCCCCCCAACAGGTGGCTACAAACACCTTAACCACTTGGCCACCGCAGCGCTCCCTCCCCCCAACAGGTGCAGACAATGCACATCAGTTGATGATGGACAAAAGGCAATTGCAATAGTTAGGTGAGTGATCGGGTGACCTAGATGTAACTAGGGTCTACCCTTAAGTGCCCACATAAAACAATGGCCACAGTGTTGTAAAAAACATGCATAATTTATATAAACACCCATTGTGTGCACATTCACATTTTTATGATCAGAGAAAAAAATTACACATACATGTATACATCTACCCTTATATGGGGCAAAGAAGTAATTCAAACAGTGTGGACAAGTCTACCCTTATACATACACATAATTTGGCATTTTCGTTGTAATTTATATCAGTAAGAATCTAAATTTAGAACAATACAAGTTTCTAATCAAACAGGTTTCGGCAGTGTTATATTAGGACAAATCAGCAGGTCTCGGCAGTGTTATATAAGGACAAATCAGCAGGTCTCGGCAGTATTATAAGGACAAATCAGCAGGTCTCGGCAGTGTTATATAAGGACAAATCAGCAGGTCTCCGCAGTGTTATAAGGACAAATCAGCAGGTCTCGGCAGTGTTATAAGGACAAATCAGCAGGTCTCCGCAGTATTATAAGGACAAATCAGCTTAAGTATTTCTAGAAAAAGCTTAAGGTTTACAATGACCCATCTTTGGCTAAACAACTAGACGGGTCTTAAATTGTGCATTATTGTCAATATGAACCACACAATTAAAGTACAGTTTTTCTGCACACAATATGTATGATCCACTAATCCAACACAGTAGAAGGTTTTAAATGACCTTGAATTCCTAAAACCATTAACTGTACAGCTCAGTTTAAATGACCTTGTATTCCTAAAACCATTTACTGTACAGCTCAGTTTAAATGACCCTGTATTCCTAAAACCATTAACTGTACAGCTCAGTTTAAACATTGCACTTTGTGATAAACTTGGGCCATAGTTGGCAGGTGCCGTATAAAAACACTCAGAAGCAGAGAAAGAATCCATTATTGATGCATATAACATGCATTGTACTAAAACCTCCAATGTGTATAGATCTATCAAGGCTTACATGACTGCTGGGTGTGGGGTATGAGAAAAGTCATGCATGACTGTGTAATGTCTCGGATAACAAAAAATGGATTATTTATTTAGGTAAAGCCAAGCAGAAAACATGTTTCTACTTGTCATAGACTGTGGTATGTCTTTCATAGGAAAATAGGTAAGCTTGGCCAAGTAGAAAAAATTGTTTGTTTTCATCTTAGCGTGCTACCCTTCTTTTTCATACAATTTCAATCATTACAGCGAGGATATATTGAAGATAGGGGATAACATCCTCAGTGCTGTGAATTAAAAATATAAAAAAAACTTTGCAGGTGAAATTTATCCACTATCCACATACATTTGAAGGAATCCTTTAAATCAGCCATGTGAAACACTACATGGATGTGTTACCTGTACTTGGTCCTGTTCTGGGTACTTGTCAGTAGCATACACAGCCTCAAGACTGGGGTTCTTCTCTACAGCGTAATGTTTCTTGAAGGTCAGGCCCATATACAGGGCAAACGGGATCACCAATAACCTATCAAAACAAAACATATAAAACTTTCAAAGACAACCATTATTATTGTAGACCCATTTAAATTAGTAGCCAGCCCGGCTGTCACAATATATTGGAAAACTGTTATTATTGTAATACACAGGTTTATTATATTTTATTGCAGAAATTAAACATTGCTTTATCGCAATATTTTCAAAATTGGTTTTTATCTGCAAGTGTTTTGACTTTTCAAATTAATTCACATTCTATATGCAAATAGCCACAAACAGACTATGACTATAGAGGTAGGAATTAATAGAAATTTCATGATCAATTTTCGGTTTAACAAATATCTGAAATCAGCGTGATCCATATGATTTATTTGATAACATTCTGACAATAAATTCTCTTTAAATTGCATGAGCACTTATTTCCTATGAGAATATATCAGGATGCATAAATCCCAATATCAACATGACTCTATACCCAAAGGGTCTGTATCACTCAACCGGTATTAATCTCACAACTGTAACCCTAAAAGTAGATCAAGGTTTTAAATCTTTAAATGTAATAAATAATCATTAAAAAAAAATCATTAATATTAATTACACTCATGGTTATTCAGGAGAATCTATAATAAGATTTTCACACATTTGACTCTGTCAGACTGTGATGTTGAAAGTAGGTCATGGTCATTCATTTACATTCTACCAACATGTAGGCTACTGGCAAAAGATTTTGTTTTGTTTCTGGTATTAACGGGTGGAATGTCCTATTCTTCCATCGTGTGTAATGTATGTGTGTAGGTGTCTATGCATGGTGGAGGCAGCGATATGTTGTTGTAATTGTCTCCTTGCGACAGGGCGGATCTGATGCTGACTTTATATATAATTGATACATTAATTAATCACTCTAAGCCGTTTAGTTATTCAGAAAACATGTTTAAGATAAACTTAACCAATATGGCCCATGACGTAAAAAAGGGCTCACGTACAGGTCATTAAATTGCACCGATTGGATAGCCCTCCATCAAATTATATTACTGGCAAAATATCATCACCCTGAAGGTCTCTTGTTTATTAAATAGAACTTGTTTAATGGCTTTAACTAATTTGTCCACTGTGATTATGACCTTTAAAGCGGGTCAAAGTCACTCATTTGAACAAACTAGAGATCCATTCTTACCAGCACGTGCTACTTGTGAAATATCATCACCATAGCTTGGCATTAAGCCATGAGTTATTCAGAACTCCGTGAAGCTGTTTAAAATTTTAACCAGTTTGTCTCCTGTGACCTTGAATGTGTGTCAAGGTCATTCATTTGAGAGATTGTCATAGCTCTTCATTCCAGCATAGTGCTTGTCAAATATCTTTCTTTTAATTTAAGAGGAAGTTTTATTTGAAGATTTTAGTGAATTTGTTCTCTGTGACCTTGTAATTATAGTGGATCAAGGTCTTTCCATCAAAAAGAGTCAAGGTCATTCATTTGAACAAACTAGAAATAGTGTCACCCTAGGTCTTTTGGTAGTTGATAAGATATTAGTGGTTAAAAGATTTCAACATATTTGTGCCATGTGACCTTAAATAAGGTCAAGGTCATTCATTTGAACAACATGTTAGACCTTTATTCAGCATGTTACTTGCCAAAAATCATCACCCTAGGCCTGTTGGTCATTCAGAAAAAAAGTTATGTGTGTCAGGTGAGCTAACAAATGATTACCAGGTCCTAAATCTTCAGGACCAAGGATGTTTATCAAAGGAAATTTGATTGAGATCCACATATATGCATCAATGCTGCTTCATATAGAGCAAAAAGGTGCTTTATTTTTATTTATTTTTAAAGAAGAAAAATTGAGGAATATCTTGCTAACTAATTAGCAACTGTATTTGGTAAATGAGTGAAGATCTCAATTTTCATGTTACAATTAACCTGGGACAAATCCTAAGGCCTAGGGGACCATGGGTCTAATCAACATATCTTGTTTTAGCTATATTTAGTATTTCTTTATAAGATGGAATTAATTAATCATACAATATTCAAATAATTATATGCAAAAAAAAAATCAGTTACCTTGCCAAGTCATAAGATTTTTAATTTAGATAGCTAGAAAAAAATCCCAAAAGCCCTGGAGCTCGTGATTTTAAAGAAAGACATTTGAGTGAGATAATAAAAACGTGACTATAACATTTTGATTTCAGGGTACACAGTCCTAATAAACGATAACTCAAAATACTGTTAGGTTATGCATGACTTAAAGAATTTGATTTTAAAAACTTTTTTTGAAGACAGTAATATATACTTGGCCTTTTAGGACAGGTAAGCTAATGGGAAAAATTACACATCTTCAACTTTAATTAAGGATATCATATCATTAGCTGGACAAATTCAAAATAGAGTTCATTTGTCCCCATCCTCCAAGTCTACATCCATGTCACAGATGTATAAACCAATAAACCATCATAGAGTTCATTTGTCCCCATCCTCCAAGTCTACATCCATGTCACAGATGTATAAACCAATAAAACATCATATTAGTGAAGTTCAATGGATAAAACCCTAAAAAGAACCCAAACAATTTAAAGGATCCCTGTCCCATTGCACTGCTGGTTTTCCTATATACAGTAACCTCCCCTTAACTTTGGTGTAGCTCCATCAGTTTCAACAATGGTAGAACAAACCAAAGTCCAGGGTTCAAGTCGTTGTCGTGCTCCACATATTATTTTACACTCAGAACATGTCTACTGTTGATTATATTTTCTTTATTTCATCTCCATTTTCATAAAAGTCCTGCAAGGTATCATTTTCTTTTCGAAAATGATTTATAAAAGCTAAAGTTATAGGCTTTCTGGACAAAGAAGTTTTGAATGCCTAGTTTTATTTTTTAGCAGTGGTACACCTAGGATCCAGAAGTCATGAAATTCTTCTAAGCAGGGTCCTCATGATCACAACTAACCTGAGTATCAAAAAGGTACACACATTTGTAGGGCCATAAAACCAAAATTCTGTATGTATAGTGGGGCATTAAAAACGATTTAAGGGTGCAACACTTTGCCTTCGTATGAGGTACGTGCATGCCAAATTTGGCCACTGTACACCTGTAACAGAGTATATTTGAAAGAGAAGCAAGAACAGAAGGATGGACGTGTACAGACTGACAGATGGAGTGAAAACGGTGCAACCTAGTCTCGTCATATGGTACAACGTAGCAACAAAGGGATAATATAAAACCACTTTCATTTACTGGACAGAAAAATGTTTTATGTTTAAATCTGTGGGGCTGTTAGTTTGACCAACCAGTTTATTTTGAGGAAAGGGACAGCCTCTGTCTACAAATTCAATTAAAAAACTTGTTAGACCATTTCATTAGACCTATATACATTGTATGTCAAATATAATTTAGGCCAGACAAAATAATATATTGTTTTATGTAACATGTTTGGAAAAATTTAGGGTAGGTAGCTATAGGTAGGTAATACATTTTATTTTAACAAATAAATTTATACAGTTTATATACATATATAGGAGAGTGATTTTGACTTTAACAGTGCTTCTTTGAAAATTGCCTTATAAAGTTTAGGGTATAGGCACAAGATAATTAGGGTAGGTTAAGAATAGGGTAACTGGAAAAACCAAATATTTTTTGTTTGATTTTAATGTTATAATCTCAAAATTTTGAAATTAAATGGTTAACAATTGAGACAAACAAAGTCTGGGTCTTGCATCTTTAAAATTTTCTCTTTTTGCATCTTTAAAATTCTCTACAAAAATTTGCTGTAATTTTTTTTTCCAGACATTCTTTTTATTATTTTTCTTCATCGCTTTGAGGAATGGCTAATGGGTTGTTTTACAAGACTTGTCTGAGCTTTCTTATTCGAGTCGCAAGAAAATTGAACAAGTCATTATTCTTCCAACCACAATAATAATGTAATGCAAGTTAATATATAAATACGTATATATACTTTCTGAAAGTAAATGTTATATAATAACCTTTGGCAAACTTAGATAAATTTACAAAGACGAGTTCACTGAGGCTATAATCTGTTAGCTGCTCAACTGGCCCCTTACTTGTTAACCCTTTCACCCCTATGTAACTTTAGTAAACTCTTCCATGCATTGATCTTGATGAGTCCATTATGGCCTGCAGTGGTGAAAGGGTTAATACAAATCTCCTGGTATTAAGCTATCATTAGCCTGGCTTGGGTCTCAGGCATTGTCAAATTACACTAGTATACACCTGTACTAGTACTGTTCATGCAGCGTAACCAGATCAAACATATTTCAACATACGAAAGGAAATTGACTTAAAGAAAACACAGTCAGCTAATACACTACAAATTATTTTATTGAAGTGTCACATGTCAATTTTGCTTAAAATACATCCATACAAGCATGATCTAAAATGCAGGGAAAATCCTGGAATTTGAGAGCAGCGGGCCATCTTCAGCAATTTTTAGTCAAATTCAAAATTAAGAAGTGCCATTCTTTGTCAAATTAAAACAAAATTGGAACATGGAGGGGTCAAATTCATTTTTGAGGAGTCAATGGCCCCATGACCCTATCCAGGATTATCCCTGAAAATGTACAAGCAATGTATGATTGACACCCAGCCTAATAAGGCTTATATTAAAAACACATTCTTCTATGATACATCTTATGAACTGTGCTCGCCAGGGCAGGGCATATTGTGTAGACTAGGTTCATTTAAGACGACAAGTTTCTGTACAGTGTACAATATGTTAAAATAGGTATAACCAGGTACAATCTGTTGTGCTGTTGTCAAAAGATGAGCGTCTGCATGATATCTGAATAAAAATCACATACAATCAGAAAATGTCATTCGTCTTCAATAGCTTAAATTACAAATTTATGTACAAAGTCTATCTTCTAAAAGTATTTTAGGGCGATATATAATACCGACCAGTTTCAATGCTAAGCTTTAAATTACCACTACAAAATTTAGCGAATGCCTAGCTACGTGTCTACACCTGAAACCCATAACACTCGAGGCCTACGTCTCCGAATAATCACTAGTTTTGTACAGT